GCCCAGGTCAGAGGAACAGATTTTCAGGCTGAGGGAACAGCAAATGCACAGGGTTCATTCTCATGAGCCTTGCAGGCAGGAGGGGGCTAGTTTAGACTTTATCTGGTGACCGAGGGAGTCTCTGAAAGACTTGAGGCAGGGGGATAAAATCTGAGCTGTGCTCCTGAGAGATGGACCATGATGTCAGGGATAATACGGGAGGAGCCCCAGACCCACCTCTCCAGAGGCCTGGGAAGTCAAAGGATGCTGTCCCACAGGAACTCAGAATTCAAGGTGGTTTGCTGAGTGCGGAGGCCTTGGCTCCTGATGGTGGTGGTGGAGTGAGGGCTTCCCTGCAAGCCAGGTAAGGAAGGAAGGACAAATCTTCGACAGCTCTGTCGAATGGGATGTCAACCAGGCCGGTTGGTGTGGCCGATTCTGCTGGTCTTCGTGTTCGGTGTTACTGGAGTAAACTCCCAAACTTTCGGCAAAGACTCTTCCCACTTAAAGTAAGCTTTGTGTGGGACAGGCCCGGGAGAAAAGTGTGGGCACAAGTTGAGGAACCAGGAAGACCCCTTTTGAAAATGAGTTTTGTCTTTCTCTAGAGGTAGATAGAGGATGGTCATTAAGCCTCTCTTACGAGTCAGATTATCAGGGTTCATACCCTGGGTTGGGACACTAAAACAGCTTGAGTTTATAGAAATTGTGACTTCTTCGAACTTCTCCTTGTCTCCCTATCATGCAGATAGTGAAGGATTTACCTCATGAAGTAGTAAGAATGAAACACGTCAATGAATATTGTTCAAACAGGCTGGCATCAGGCTCATAGTAAGGACAGCAAAGTTACCAGCAATCGTTACTACTACTCATTAGTCATCAGATCAGGCACTTCTCAGCCTCCTACTTACTGAATCGTATCACGCAGACACTGCAGATAATCCTATAACTGCCTCCCACCTTTCTCTTCTTTTCCTGGACCCCTGCCCCTATACTCCTCAGGCAACTTATTTGACTCCAGATTTGACTCTGGCACCCAGGGACAGACATTCCTAGTGTTGAAATAATCGCAACACTTATTGCCATGGGCAGAGGCTGGACCAAGGCCTCTGGAACATTATCTCAATTGTTAGAACATCCCTAATCTGTTCCACTGTACAGATGAGGAAAGGAGGGCTCAGAAGGGGAAGCGACCACTCAGTCAGCAAGAGGTAGAGCTGGGAGGCAAACTCGAGGCTTTTTGACCCTGATGTCCCTTAAAACTAACACAGAAAGGAGAAAGAAAAAAAGAAAGACGTCCATTCAGAACCGCCCCCCCCCCCAAAGCACCACTGATTGTAAAAAATAAAGAGGGCCCTCAGTGAGGGGAATACAGTGCTAGGAAAGCTTGAGTCAGCCCAGTGTCCAAAAATGTCCTCGACCTGCAAGGGAGGCCCTGTCCTCCCCAGCCCAGCGGCCGGTGGCCTCACGACCTGATGGAATTACTTTGACTGTGGCCAAGCAGTGGTGAGGAAGCCCCAACCCCCTTCCGGCCTCTTTGTCCTGTTTAGTGCCCCATCTGTGGGCCCCTCGAGGGCAGCCCGGCTGGTCTTGACTCTGAGGTGAAGGAGTAAACATCTCGGGGGCCTTTATTAGTTTATTTCAGAAGATGGAGCCTGTTTGTCCCTGGGGCCCATCCCTCTTTTATGGCCTCCAGCCCTTCTTAACAAATTCTAGCAACTGGAGAGAAAACCGCTTTCTACGGTGGATCATTAAAACACCACCATAAACCCGGGGCCATAAAATATTATTTGCCGGGCATAAAAGGGGGGTAGATTTTCCCAGAATGACAACCCAGGCCCTGCTTTCTCCCACTGGGAAAGGCGGCCCAGGGATGCGATCGTTCATAAATTCCTCATCTTGCACTCTGTTTTGTGAAATAATCTTGTTGGGAGAGCAGCCAAGAATATTGAGTTATTGGTTCCACGGACTCAAAAGCATTTCTAATGAGTGAAACTCCGCGATGCCTTCCACCGTGTGTTTGCAGACGACTCAATCTGAGCGCGCATGCGCACATGCACACGGTTTGCAAGGGGTCTGTCGAACAGGAACCCTTGAGAACCTCGGGGTCCGCCTCCTTAACCGATGGGGAGGCATCAGTGTCCCTTCTTCTCCTGGCCAATTCCATTAACACCAGGGTGGACTGGCTCTTGCAACCCAGCCTGGTTTTCCAGAGATGCAGCTCAGGCTGGGGACTCAAAGTGGATTTCCAGTTGGTTCCCCTTGGCATCTTTCTATGGAAATAATCCTTTCATCCATGCACTCATCTGGTCATTCAACAGATATTTTTGAGCACCTACTAGTTGCCAAGGCCTATCCTGAGTGCTGGTGTTCTAGCCATGGAAGACGCTGTTAGGGAGCTTCCTGCATCGTTGTGGGGTGAGATCTCACCACATCCGTTATTAGTATCTTCAGAGAAAATTCACAGTCCCCTCTCTGAAATCTTTGGGGCCAGATCGGTATGTCAGAAGTTTGGGGATTTTTTGGAATTATAAAATTGGCGGGGGGGGCATATAATGATTTAATTTGCAAAGGGTGCCAGTGAAATCTGGGGAGATAACCAACAACTCCCTGCTGTTTATATTTCTTCAGTGAAAAGTGTGACTGTTCCCTGTGACTGGAAAAAATCAAGGGTATGGAGTGCCTGGCAAGTGACCCATGCTGAGTACTCCATGACCCCCCTGTTCATTCTTGCCTCCTGCCTGATTTTCAAGGTCATCTGTTTCCTTTTCACGGCACCCCGGCCACAGGTCATTGTATTTCTCTGTGCTTTGTTTGTGAGTTTATATGTGTATTGAAGAAGATTTTGAAGCCCGAGAGGCTAAATGACTTGTCCAGGACCTGACAGCTAGAAAGTAACCCAGGAGGGTTGGAAATTCAGTCTTCCCTCAACCACTACCTAACACCACCTTCTTCTAGAGAAAAGAAGCAAAGCAGGAAATAAAAACGATTGGGGCTATGTCTACATAAGCAAAGGCAAGTGCAGAAAAGTAGCAATAATCCAGATAATTCAGAATTTGGCAAATTTTAGAAAAAGGTTTGTGTTGGGTAGCCAGGGTTTCTGGACAGGCTGTAGGGGTGAGAGCAAGTGACTAGCCCTTCTGTTTTAGCAGTAAGAGCATCTAAAGGGACTCAGGGTCACTCAGGTATGGAGGAGTTTCAGTACCCTTTGAGATCTCTATTCTTGAACTCCTGTCCTGCCACTGCCCAGTGCCTCTGGGCATCTGGGTTGCCGGCCCTGAGACAGACGCAGGTCAAAAGCAAAAAGGGAGAGAGGGAACCAGGGAGGGCTTGCCAAGGGGCGGTTCTCCCAGCACAGACCTCTCATGTTCAGACCCACCCCTGGAAATGGCAGATCTCAGACTAGATCGGAAAACTGGAAAATGCCCACAGGTCATTATTGTTAAGTGGGCAAGGCCTAAAGAATGTAAGGGGACACAGAACTCAGAAGATGAACGGGAGATGTCTCGAGAGGAGCTTTGATGACCTTGGGCTCCCCCTTCTTAAGGCTTCCTGAAGCCCTGGCTAAAGAAAGCAGGGCCAGAGGGAAAAAGGGCATCTCTTGAAGTTCCTGAGAAGCCCACACAGCCATTTTGGTGCGGGTGGCCAAACGAGGCCAGGGCTGGGGAGGATTCCTGTCAGCAGAGACAAGTAAGGTCCAGGAAGGGGCTGCAGAGGGTGGGACAGAGTCTCAGCAGTCTTTCCCCGCGGGATGTAGTGGTCAGCCAAGGTGGGAGTCAGGGATGGAAGAACAAAACAGAACAGCCACCACCACCCCCGAAGAACCCAGGCTGTGGAGTTTATGCCTTAAGGTCAAATGCATGCTGCTGGATGGTGGAAATTGAATCTTGAATCGTGTGTGTGTGTGTGTGTGTGTGTGTGTGTGTCTTCCACCTGGGATGTCTAGAGGATGGGGAGGACTGAGAACAAGAACTGCTCCAGTGGGAGGCATGGTTTGGGGGTGGCTTCCCTGGCATGCTGGACTTTGGGGGCACACATCCGCCAACCGCGTCCCTGCAGAGACGACCACAGGTGTCTGTAAGTGTCCAAAAGTTCCAGTGTCTGGAATCCGGTTTTGCCGAACTTCGCAAGCTTCTCACCTGAGGGCAACCACCTAGATCCACCGGGCAGCACCACACGTCGCATCCGGGTGGGCTGGGTCGCAGCTAGAGGCTGAATCGCGCGCCCCAGTCCCCAATCTACTACACTGGGGCGATGCAGGATGGGCGCGTCTTCCCTGTTCTCCAGCCTCGGGGCTTAGGGACCCTCCCCCGGGGTAATAATGGGGAGAAGGTCCTCCCAGAGGTTCCGTGCTGGGGCCGCAGGCCCCCTGCAGCCCCAGTGGGAGCGTCCCGGGACCCGCGAGCCAAGGAGTCCAGACCGGGAAGTTGGGGTTCATCCTCCCGAGGGTCGGCGGCTTTGGAAGATCTCAGACGGCCGGGCGGCGGGCAGGCCGCCGCTGCAGAGTGGACCTCTCTCCTTCAGCAGATGCCTGGGGGATGGGGAGCCCAGAGAAGGGGGCTCGAGCAGGGAGCGTATTCCACCCCCCTGCACCCCAGCCGTGGTACGGCTTTAAAATCCTGTGGAGTTTGTCATAGGCCGGCCTCACCACGCATGCGCATAGGCGAAGTTGAGTTTTTTCTTTCTTTTCTCCCCCCTTCCCTCTCTCTTTCCAGCCGCCTTTGGTTCTACAACTTAAAAAAAATTTTTTTCCCCCTCTAAGAACAGCAGGGGAAAGAGGAGTCCGGAGAGAGGGAGAGAGAGTGAGGCAGTTGGCTAGGAGGGCCGGGGGTGGGTGGGTGGGGGTCGCGGTCCCTGCGGCGGGTCAGTCTGGCTGCGGGGCGCAGGATCGCGTGGAGGGTTGCTGCGAGCTCCAAGGCGCCGCCTCCGCCGCCCAGAGTCCGGTTCCGTGCGGCCGCCGCCAAGCGAGCTCCTCCCGCCGCCGCCGCCGCCGCCGCCGCGCCGTGCCCCCGACCGCCCGCCGCCCGCCCCTCGGGCCCCGGCGCCAAACGAGGAGGTGGGCAGCTGCGCCGGCCATGGACCGCCAGAGCTGAAGGGCCGCCGCGGAGCCCCTGGCCCTCGCCCCTCCCCAGCCCCACGCCCGCGGTGCCCTCGCCCCTCTTCGCCCTTCGCCTAGGGAAGGCGGGGGAAAGACGGGGATTAACCCGAAGAGAGAAAGAGGGGAGGGGGGAGCCAGTGTCTCTCCCGGGGCAATCGCTCATCGCCCCCGAAACCGCCGCGCAGAGCGTTCGAGGGACGACTTTTACCCATTTTGCGCCCCCTTTTTGCCAAACCCTAAAATGAAAGGACAAAAGTTGGCGCTGACTCTTGTAGTCCGGATGGCGACTTGTGCATTTTCAGCGGCATCTCCCGGAGAAAAAGCCGTGCGCGCCTGATTGTTCTGTGGTCCCAAAGCTTCAGTGTGTGGGTGGGTGGGGGGTGGGTGTGTGTCTGTGTGTGTACACAGACGTCCACACACTCACTCGCGGCCACAGGATCAGCGCCTGGAAGCAGACGTTTCGGCCACAGACTTGGAGAGGAGGAGCTGGAGATCAGGAGGCGTGAGCCGCCGGGAGTTTGCAGAATCCGTGGTGTGAATGAACTGGGGGCACCTGGGCGCGCGGATCGCCCCCGCCCCCGCCCCGGGCCAGAGTTGAGTAGTGGGGCATTTTTTTCACCCTCTTGTGAAGAATTTTTTTTTTTTTTATTATTTGTTGTAAAGTCTTTTGCACAATCACGCCCACATTTGGGGTTGGAAAGCCCTAATTACCGCCGTCGCTGATGGACGTTGGAGAGGGAGCGCCTCGCGGAGGAACAGTCGCCTGCACGCCCTCGCCGGACCCGCGGCTCCCTTGTTGCGCGCGGGCTCGGCTTTGCCCCTGCTGCCGGCCGGCGGGCTTCGGCGCGCCATCGGTTCCCGGGCGCATCCCGGCGCTGCTCCGGCTCGGGCCCTCGGACTCGGGCGCCAGTGACCGCTTCGCCACCGATTTCCTGCGCCTGCCGGACGCGCCAAGGAGGAGCCCAAAGCTCTGCGCGGGATCGTCCCCCCAGGCTTAACCCAGCCGCTCCGCTCGGATTCCTCGGCTGCCCTCGCTCTGGTGGCGACTTCCTCCCCGCGGCCGCGTCCCCTCCCCCTCGCCATGAAGGTAGGTGTTCTGTGCGCTGTTGACGCTCGCCACTTTTTTTTTTTTTTTTTCCCTTTTTTTCTTTTGGAAGTTAACTTCCCCCCCCCCCCCGCATACATACCTCTTCCTATCCTTCCGTTTCTTCTACTGCCTCCAGAAGCTAGAACTCTGGTGTAGCTGGCAGGCACCCCTACCCCTTCGCCCACCCTCGCGCACTGCCTCTGTCTCCCGGGAGACTTCTTGTCCCACCAAAAGTTTTGCAAACCTTTTGGACTTTGGAGGAAAAGTGAGGAAGAGCCAGGGCAGAAGAACTGAGAGCGGTGCACCGAAGACTTTGTTCTTGCCCTAAGAAACATCAGTGTAATTTACTATGTATATTTCAGTAACAGGATAATGATTCCATTCAACAAATATTTACGAAGCGCCCACTGCGCGGGCACCAAGAGGGTGTGTGGCCGGGGCTCGGAAAGGGGAGGAGGACTCCTTGGTTGGGAGACCCGGCGGCAGGGCTAGGAGCCTACACCCCAGAGCAGTGCACCGCCCCCTCTCCCCTCGTCCTCTGTTGCGGGAGGCCAGGTTGCAGGCTCGTCCGGGCCAGGGAATCTCAGCGCTGCAGGCCCGTGTGCCTTTAAGAGTGCCTAGTGGGGGGCCAGCGCGCACCCCGGCGTGGGAGCCGGGTCGCGTTATTAGCATTATTAGCCGCCACTGGGTGAGCTCCGGCACTTTGCCGGGGTGATGGGGGCGGGGAGTGTTGGCAGTGGTGGCTCTAATCCCGTCCTCTGAGAGAGCGCGCCCTGGCCCCCTGCGCGGAATCTGCCGTGTCCTTTGGAAACATTTGGGCCTCCGCTTTGGGAGAGCGGGAGGGGGGCAGTTTGTGAACTCTTGTTTGTTTTAATTGTCAGTTGTATGTTAAAGCCGAGTCACACACTTCGAGGGTCACCGGGAGTTCACTTTTGCGAAAAGTTAACATTTCTTCCTGCAATAGAACTTGTTATTTTCCAAACAACTTCTCCTCTGTCCTCCAAGCTTCGATCCTGAATTTCCACTTTTCTTGATCCTCTCCCATTTTACTTTTCTAGAAAATAAGGTTGGGATTAGAATTAAGATGTTTCCTAAAGCAAACAAATTCCTGCTCGCCCTCCCAAAAAAGTTTTAAAAAGAACCCGAAATCTGGAGCCCCCCGGGGCCTTGTTTTACTCTCCAATTCCAGTTTGGCGTCGGGGGGCCCCTTCTCCTCTCCCGTTTTTAAATGGACAACCCTCTGTTTGGAAGTCCCTTGGAGCCAGGGGTGGGATCGCATCTCCTCAGCCCCTGCCCTCCCGCCAAGATTCGCTGCTGCCCCAGCCTCATATGGAGATTTCGTTTCTAGACAGCCTCTGCCAGGGGAGTTTCGTGGGGGCAAGGCTGAAAGCGCGCAAGTTGTGGAGACGCCTTGTAAACTGTGTCCGAGTGTGTAGATCCGTGCCCTGTGTGTGGGGAGCGAGGGGAGTAAAGGGTCAGTTGTTCTCCAGTCTTGGGTTTACTAGCGAGCCTTAGTCCCGCCGGGCTCCACAAAGGAGGACCCTCCCCCAGGAGGACTGGCCGGAGAGTCCCTGGCCTTTCCCTTTCCTCACCGGAGCGCCCCGGTGCACAAGGGGTTAGCATCGCGCGCACCGAGCTCAGCTCTTCCCGCTGCCTTTTCACCCTCGCAGTGCGGTGCCGGCTGCCCCCTGTTGGCTGCCTCGAGGTAGGACGCCTGGGAGTCAGCTCCTTGGGGTGGGCAGTCAGCTGCTCGCCTTTGCCTCCCACCTCGGGCTCCGCTCGTCCTTCCCGACCACCAGGTCCACCTCTTTCTCGAGGGCCCCTCAGAGGCCCCCAGAGAACAAACTGCTCTGCGTAGCCGCCGCAGTACAGATGGGGCCAGGGGTCCGATCCAGCAAACGGGACTTCGGAGACAGGAGGAAGGGTTTACCTCGTCCCGGGGGCGTAGGAACAGGAGCGTCGCCCTGGGAGGCCTAGGGTACGGCCTGGGCGCTCCCACCCCTGCTCTGTGGGGAACAAGTGTTGCTTTCTCTTTCTCGGCCTCAATTTCTTCGTCTGTTAAAAAGCGGAGTTGAAACTGCCCCTGAAGAGTGGGGGTTCAACTGATCTTTAATTTTCTCTCTCCTTCATTCTGCTCTTTCTCTGGATAAAGTCGAGAGCCTGTGCTTGGAGGTTAACCTGTGTGAGAAGGTGTAAGTGATGTGTGTGTGTGTGAGAGAGAGAGAGAGAGAGAGGAGGAAAAGTATTGAAGTCTGAAGAGACTCGTCCTGGGATGGAAGTGGGGACACAGGGAACAGCCGGGCTTGACCACCACTCTTCCTTTGGAGCCTCCTTGTTCTCAGACCTGCCGTTCAGTCCAGAGCCGGGGCAGTCCTTGCACTGATCACTGGGCGCAAGGAGCTCCCTCCACCTTCTCTCTAGGGCTTCCCCCACCCCAAACACACACACAACACACACGTAGCGCTGTGGACACAACAAGGCGGTGAGGGGCTGCCTCGATCCCTCTGAACCTAGGCTAGAGGCTTAGGGGAGCCCTAGGTCCTCCTCCGCTCCCCCTTTAAATCGGACCTCCCGGCAGCCTCACCAGGCTCAGGCCCCTCGGCTCCCTCTTCTCTCTGGGCACTTCCTGGGGCAGGGCGTCCCAACTTTGGGGTTGCCGCCTTTTATCTCCCACAATTTTCTGTTTCTCTCTTTTAGGAAGAGATCACAGTGGGGAAAACAAAGTTTATTTCCTACCAAGAGCAGGGATTCTTGGAGTTTCTTATCTTTTTAGCCACCACGAGCCCAGGTCAAACTCACTTCTGACTTCTAGCTGGTCTCCCCCTTCATTTCCATTCTCCCAGACTTGGGGGAACCTAGACTCAAAAAACCTAGTGGAAGGGGATGCCCAGACCGAATGAGGTAGCGCCCATGGGTGAGGGTCGAGAATCTTCTTCCTGCCTTTGCAGAATTTCTCTTTAGGGGCCGCAGAGCTGAGGACTTGGGTGCTGGACACGGGCTAAGACCCGCTCTGTGGCTTGGGAACCTCATCTAACCAGAGTGGTGGTTTCCTGTCTCCCACCCCTCATCACCCCCAGCCCACACCCCAGTGGATAAAGGTAGTTTAGGAACACCTTCAATCCAATGCAGAGGCTTTGGAGGAGAGACAGAATAAGCGTCACTGCGTTGAGCTGCTCTGGCTTTGGAAACTGGGGAGCACTAATGTCCTCCCTCCCCTCACCTCACCCCTCCCCTGCGCTAGAAACTCTCAAGCGCCCGCGGCCCTCCACCCCAGCGCATGCTAGGAAGAGATTCTGAGGACCTTACATAAGCGGGCTTCTCGTGGCTCTGAAAGTGTTCGAAAACATTTAGCCCATTCTTTAGTAAACTCAGTCTCTGCCCAGAACTTTTGTTTTACCCCCGGTGTGACCGTCTCCGGAGAGGTCTCATTTCCTACTGTCTTTTGGGATCAGATCTCTTGATAAACAGGCAGGGGTGTTTACCCTTCAGAGTCGATGTATTTATTAGTGAGTTCGCTGTGGGTTCTTTCAGTCCTTCAAACTTGTGGGGCCTTTTTTTGGGTTGCACGGGGATTGGAGCGGGAAGAGGGCCAAGGTGTTTCCGGGCAAGCACGCGGGGTTAAGTGGAGACGCGACTCTCAGGGCTCTCCTGGCTGTTCCCCTTTGGGACACCTCTGGCCTACCCCTAATCTGGAGCTGGGGAGACCCGAGTCTCGGAGACCCAGTGACCCACTCCCAGTTAGGAATGGGCGGACTCTCCCTAGGGTCGTCGGGCCCAAAGTCGGTTCGGTTGTGTGGCTTCGCCTCTAACAAAGAGATCCGCTGTAATCCGCGGAATCTGTTATCAATTTCTCTGCTGCCCGCGCCCCGCCCCGCGTGCCCCGCCCGTCGGGAAGCTCAGAAAGTGCGCGCGGCCAGCAGCCATCTCCGCCCGCGTCTCGGAAGCACGTCGGTGCGTGTGTGTCTATTGAACGCGTTTGAGTGTGTGAATGTGCATGGGTGTGTTGTGAGTGTGTGTGCGTGCGCGGCCTTGGCCGCGGAGGGGTGGGGGGAGTCGATTTTGCAGCCTGGGCCGCGCGCGAAGGCAGACCTCGCAGCCCACCCCCTCCCCTGGAGGAAACTTGACACTTCGGGCGGGGGTGGGGAGCGAGACCGAGCCTTCTCTATCTTCGGCTGGGGAAACCCCAGGTTTCTGTTCTCCGGGATGCGCCCCTAGCTTTGCGGCGTTTGGAGAATGAGTGGGCCAAGGGCTCAGAGCCCTGGTTAGCGGGCTCGGGGGACCACATAAGCGTTTCCTCTTGGAGAAGTCCCGAGCTGCCTGGTCAAAAGGACGGCGGGCACAGAAAAGCCGTGGCACGCTCCTGGGCCCCCTCGCTTTTCCAAGGCTGCCTAGGTCCCCTCTGTCCCTTTGACGGCGCACTTTCCAGGCCCTTCGGCCGACTGGAGAAGGCTCACCTTTCCTTTCCCGAGGAAGGGGCTCCCTCCGGGCTGCCGGCGGTGCAGCGCAGCCGGGTTACACTTAACAGAAACGTAAAAGGGGATTTTGGAAACCCGCTCCTCCCGCCCACACGGGCCACTGTCTCACGCCCCCGCCGCCTACAGGTGGACAAGTCACCAGTGGGGGGTGGGGGAACGGCCGCGAAAGCTCCCAGGGCCGCCCCCTGCCCCCGAAATTCTTCACAACGGGAACCTTCGCCGCCGGCGCCCTCTCTGCTCCCTGGAATCCAGGGGTTCAGCCGCGGCGCGGGAGCCGGCGCATCTCTGGCCCCGCCGAGGGCTCACTCGCACCCGCGGTGGCCTCGCCCTGCACTCTCACCGTCCGGGACTTACCGAACCGAGTCTGAGTTGGGCTGGAGGGTGGGGCGGAGGTGTTCTAAGGCCAGGCTCACAGGGCCGCGGTGGCGAAGTGGCCGACAAGCCCAGACCAAGACCAAAGCAAACTGGAGTCCCCCTTGGTTTCCTTTCCTCTTTCTCCATGGCAGCTGTCAGGAGTGGGGACCGAAGGGGGGCAGGAGAAAGAGTGAAATGAAAAATCAGAATTTGTGGGAGGGCAGAGAAGGGATCCTCTCCCAGGACAGACCCCCTATTTGCCTCAGGGGTGCTATCCCTTCTCCCCTTCCCGGGGGGGGGGGTGCGCAGAGTGGCAAGAGGAGGCCGCAGGCAGGGGAGGGGGCACTGTTTTCCTGTTTCCTGGGTTGAGAGAGCAGGTCTCTCTCCCCGTTATCCCCAGTGCCCCCCATCTCCTCCCCACTCCAATCTGGTTGAACAGTGTCCTAAGGAAACCCAGGCTGCCCTTCCCCCTCTGGAAGTGGCTTCCCCCAAAGCGGCCTGTAAACTGATTAGGAAACATACGCTGTTAATTCCGAACTGCATTTCCCAGCTGGGCACTCTCGCGCACGCCGCTCCCCGGGGCCTCGCCCCCCACCCCCTGCCCTTCCCTCCCGCGTCCTGCCCCCACCCCCACCCCCACCCCCGCGCCGGCCACCCCGCCTCCTCCGCAGCCGCCCGCGGCGTGCTCCACTAGCCTTCGCGCTCCTCTCGTCCATGGAATTAATTCCGGCTCCACTTGTTGCTCGGCCCAGGTCGGAGAGCGGACGAGGGTGGCTGCGGGTTCCCGAGTGAATTCCCGAGGAGGGACCCAGCACAGCGCGGACTAGAGGGGAGCGAGGGGGTGCGGGAAGCGAACGAGCAGGAAAGAGGCAGCGCTTGGCACCGGGGCTTTGACTCAACAGCATTGAGACATGTTTGTAATCGCTGGCGTGCCCCGCGCGCAGGATCCCAGCGAAATCAGATTTCCTGGTGAGGTTGCGTGGGTGGATTAATTTGGAAAAAGAAACTGCCTATATCTTGCCATCAAAAAACTCACGGAGGAGAAGCGCAGTCAATCAACAGTAAACTTAAGAGACCCCGGATGCTTCCGTTGTTTAAACTTGTATGCTTGAAAATTATCTGAGAGGCAATAAACATCTGCTCCTTTCTTCCCTCTCCAGAAGTCGATTGGAATATTAAACCCAGGAGTTGCTTTGGGGACGGCTGGAAGTGCAATGTCTTCCAAGTTCTTCCTAATGGCTTTGGCCATATTTTTCTCCCTCGCCCAGGTTGTAATAGAAGCCAATTCTTGGTGGTAAGTTCCTTCTAAGTGCATATTCTTTGTTTGATTTTCTTTTTTCTAAGATTCGTGGGTACGATGCTGCAGTTTTTAAAGCTGAATCGTGAGTCTGAGTGCCTTTATGTGATACATATGTGTATAATATATTTTGTGTGTATATCTGGAAATCAGAATTTTCTTCTAACTTGTTAATATCGTCAAGCTTAATCTTTAGCTCCATAGGGAATGGGACCCTATAAATCTACCCCTTTTTTCTGTGAGGCCCTTGTTCAGATGTCTGCTTGTAGTACATCATGTAATAAAAGGGCACCGAAATTCACTTCTCTAATAATTGTAAGCCTATCTATAAAATTTACTTTTGCCACCTCTAGGTAGTAAAAGCGAGTTCCAGCTTTTATTTTCTGTCACTCGAGGTTATTAACCTTCAGGGTCTGAGGCAGGCAGAGTGTTCTAGGAAGACAGCTGCACTCCAAGTGGGGAAGTATTGGGGCTAGAAATTTGATCAAAAGGAGGTGAACATGAAGTAGTCAAATGTCCTTAAACGAGCATTTCTCTCTGGTTAGGGGCCTTGTAGATAGACTGCAGTGTATCCAAAGGATTATTTTTGACGGCGTTCTGGATATTTTTTCCCTGTAAATGAACAGCATTTCTTCTGACTGTCAAACATGACTTGTGTTCACTGGATACCCAGTCTTGGGTCTTTTAGAATCACATAAGGGGCCCTTTTAAAATGTCCAGAAACTGGAGAATTTTCTTCAGTCTCTCTACTTGTGTCCCAATTCTTGCACCGGTCAGAAGGAGCTCCTCTCTCCTCCTCCCCGCGTCTAATTTTGTCTGCTTTCACATGCATACGTTTTCAAGGCAGATCCGTCCAATTTGTGGGGCAAAGGGAGTCCCCTTTCTCTAATGTCAGAGGCCCGTCCCCCGAATCGCCATCTCCCCCATTTCGGAAACGTGGGTTCAGGTAGATGGCAACGGGGCAAGGAAGGGAGTGAAAACCTAACTGAGGAGCCAGATGGCGGGGTGGGGATTGTACAATACCTCCGTTTTCTGAGCGCAGTTTAAACAGAGAAGTTTTATGAAGCCCTTCTCCTACTTTGTCATGAGGACAAGCAGGAGAGAAAAAGCATCTGTGTGCTGAAAACTCTGTCTCGCTGACATGCTTTCAGGGGGCCTACCTCGAGAGTTCACGTAAATCTTGAATGCACATCTCCCCCCACCCCTTCTAGGTCGCTAGGTATGAATAACCCTGTTCAGATGTCAGAAGTATATATCATAGGAGCACAGCCTCTCTGCAGCCAGCTGGCAGGACTTTCTCAAGGACAGAAGAAACTGTGCCACTTGTACCAAGACCACATGCAGTACATCGGAGAAGGCGCGAAGACGGGCATCAAAGAGTGCCAGTATCAGTTCCGGCATCGGCGTTGGAACTGCAGCACCGTGGACAACACCTCTGTGTTCGGCCGGGTCATGCAGATAGGTAGGACACTGTACAACAGCTGGTTAAATGCAGATCAAGCCCTCTCCTGCAGACGGGCTTCTGCCAGCACTTAGGAGCTTGCTAAGGAGGGAGTCTTCCAGCTGGATGAGCGCAGGGTGGTGGTGGGGGGGTCTTCCGGAATCTTCCTCACTACTGCCCCTGGCCTTAATTCCTGTTCCCACACCTTGATGATAATAAGTTTGGGGGCTTCTTTAGTCAAATCAGAAGGGAAGCATCAGAGACACCTTTGTTTTTCTGAACACTGCACTTTTTTCTAAAATGCCTTCTGTTTGGAAGAGAAGCATAACGCTTATTTCAGTTTCTCAAAAGGAGGTGAAGAAAGATGAGTCATTTATATCCTTTTAAACTTCAAAACTCTTTTAACGGCTGGAAGTCTCTTAAGCCACAATTCAAATGGCCCACGCATCAAACTAAATACTGTCATCTTTCGAATGCTGGCTACGTTGGGAGTGAATAAGGTTTTAATTTTCCTAATATAGATGTTTCCTGAGGCTATAGAGATATATATGTTAAAAGCTTTATTTTTAGGCCCAGAAAGAATTTTAATTAGAAGTGGTCCCATTTACATTGTGATTTTGGCTATTGACATACAAGCACATGCTTCGGATCCCAACCTAGAAACTTAAAAAAAAGTCTTAAATGTATTGCTCACAGTCAGATTCTTTAGGTTAAACGTATCCTTGAACTTGGTAGTGCATGCAAGGAGGAGGTGGCGTTAAAATGGGGCCAAAGGCAAAGAATTTGGAAACTCCGTCTGCTTCTGGTTTGGTTTAATAGCATAGGATACTATCTGACAGATGGGATCCTATGTGTGTTTTCTAGTGTGAATATTTTAGGTCCCTTTAGTATTATGCAAACAAGCCCTTATAATTAATATGACCGCGGTGATTCCTAAAATAAGAAGCCATTTATCAAAGCAATTAACTGTTTAGACGGACTGAAGATAAAAAAAGTTGGCTTAATATCCGTCACGGATGGATAAAATGCTTTTATAAAAACCCTGAAAAGTGCATTCACTGAGAACAAAAAAGAGTTGTCAGTGGATGTTTGAGCCAAGAAGCCAAGCGACTTCATATACTAAAATAATACAGGACTGGAAGCCATTCCTCTGATTGAATGGCAAAATGGTCTGCGGCTCTCAGCCTGCAGTTTCATAGGGCTTTGTCCTTCCTGTTAATGATTAAAATGTGCTAATGTGTATACTGGGATCCGAATTCAGGAATTAAGTGGCAGGAACACAGGAGCCTGCCCTGAATGTGGACTGCCCTGTATAGTAAACTGGGGTGGTGGAGATTCCCTTCTGCATTGCCTTGTTGTGAGCAAGCTCACAACGTATCAGAATGGTAAGTTGTCAGCTTTCCCTTCTCTGGGAAATTATATATTGGCCTTATATATTCCCCCTACGCTGCCTCCCTCTCAAACTCTGGGAGCACTTTTCTGCGTGTATATGAGTTTGCACAAGCCATACATTTTTGATGGGTAACCAGGAAGCAAAACAGCCATTGGAATGGTTTTTTCTGTGTCGTCACTGGAACAGGGCTTTGATTTAAGATCCTTTCCTCATCTTCCTATGTAGCCTGTATTGGGCCAAAATGCTCAGAATAAGCTATCATTTGCTAAGTGGATTTGAGTTCTGCTGGAGATTTATTTAAAATGTGGTCCAAGATTCAAAGAGCCTGCCTCCTCAGGGAACAAGCAGAACCTTTGGTACAAAGGCTTATAGTTAATTGTCCCTTGCAAATACCCTGTCTGGTCCTCAGCTGTGTGGTACTCCCATCTGGGTTGGTAGCGAGTGGGTGGGAATCGAACTTCCTCCTGGGGCACCCTGCTAAGATACTAGCATCAAGTTTACCCATGTCCTGGGTATCTGAGAGCCCACCCCATCCTCCTTTGCCAAAAGTCCCCCAGGTTCCTGGGGTCTTAAGGCAGGAAGCTGCTGCTGGGCTTCCGGAGGAACCTGGGGCCCTCTCTTCTATTTATTTAAAAAAGAGATGGAGGGAAGAAAAACCAGAATAGATTTTTGTGGAAGGGGAACATGGACCCAACCCTAACAGTGGGAAATTTACTTGGCTTTCACTTTCCTATTTATGAGTCTGTTTGAAGAGAAGGAGCTAAGGGAAAATTTAAGGCACCTTTGATGTTGCAAGGGGTGTGTGTGTATGTACTCACTCCAGAGCACTAAGTACAACCAGGGACATGGGGAGCAATCCGTGAGAATCTGACCCTGTGATGGGGCCAGTGTCTGAGAAACTCAGGCTGCCACTTCCATCCCTCTTTGACTCATTTTTCTAGGGTGCTAGTTGCCTGGGAGGCGCTGTATACAATTGGCCAGTGAAGGGCCCACTCCTCATTTCGGAAACTTTCTCATTTTTCATCACGCTATCCTTTCCTTCAGCTTTTGTCTCTGTCTCTTCTTTGTCTCCACACTGTGAAAAGATACATAAGAAAGGCTCCATTTTTAAGGGGTGTGAGGGTCTGAAGAGAGGTAGATTTCACAGGGAGGGATCCCGAACTGAACCAGCAGTGTTCCATCTGGGATAGCTGCGTCCATAGGCTATTAGCCAAAGAGCACTTTTCAAACTGACATTTTTCCCTGCAGTGACCAACGAGCTAAAGAGATTCTGACCAGGTTTGGGTGGCAGGGCAAAAAAAAAAAAAAAAAAAAAGGAAATGCTCAAGGTAGACCCATGAAAAAAGCAGCATTATTGTGTTTTGTATAAAAGCCCTTTTATGCGCTGTCTCCTGGAAAGACAGTACCTCATGTTCTTCTATCTCCACAGGACTCTATCTCTCTTCCTCTAGCGGCTGCCTTACTCTACAGGTCTCCCATCTGGGGCCACAAATTTTTCTGTACTATCAGTATTAATCCTCAAATAACTCCCCAGAATCTGTCTGCTCTCCTCCTTTCTCTCCACTCCCTGATGTGCCCTGCCTCTCTCATTTGAGTTAGATACACGGAACACCCCTTAGGAACTTTCTGTATCCTCCTGCCAACCACCAACACGCTCCTCAAATTATTCATTTTTTTCAAATTGTGGGAGGGAAGGTCTGTGGTAGCTGGGAACCTTCGCTATTCCTGGAAGGAGGAATCACACATGTCTGTGGATTGAGTGTAGAGATCGAGTCCTGAAGAGGGCAGCCTGTGGGATCCTGGAATGATATAGCTGTCCTCCTCAGACGGACCCTTCTGGTTGGGGTGGAGTCCTTTTGTCAGCTGTTCTGCTGCTGTTACCTACCCCACCCCCCACCAAAGATTGTTAGGAAGCTCTTTAAGTGTCAGAAAAACTTACTCTGGTACAGGGATTTCAGCACCAAAAGTGGCCTTTTTTTCTGCCCAGGTATCTAGTTAAATACTTATTTTATAGTTGAAGAAAGTGAGCCCCCTACCTCCCAGTACACCCCCTCAGCCCCAGCTTCAGCCGGCAAGGTGTTAACCTTTTCTCTCTGGTACTACATTTCTATTAAGTGGCTTCTTGTTACACATAGAAACGTCTCCATGTACAAGTGGGAGTTGAGGTAGTCTACGATTGCCTCCACTTTCCTCCCAATGAATGGGACTCCTCTATCAGTGTTGTACAGGGTTTCAGGAAGAGGAAGACTTTTCCATTCCCCTCAGATTGTGGTTTCTTCCTTCTTGCTATTTATTCTAATGCTCTGAGGCTAAGGCTGTGGTGGGGGGTGGTTTGCAGAAGTAGCATAAATGATAGCAGGCTGTTAGAAGGAGACCTCCATCTTCTGGAAGAAGTATCAGGACCATCAGTTTGGGATTGAAGAAGGGGCAACTTTCACTCTAATACTCTAGGAACAGGTTTAGAAATGTCCTCTGGGGACGTCAAGAGCCTGAGACAGGCACCCTGTGCCTCCTGATGGAACAGGGAGAACCGGGCCCCCCGGAGTAGGGCTGCTGCAGCCTCTGGGTTCCAGGGTTCCAGGGCCGGAGACTTTCAGAGGATCTAAGCCTAGCAAATTCTGTGCTCCCGCCTGAGGTAACTCAAGATGAAAATGACACCAGACCTTAACATAAGCGTAAGGAGGTCTCCCCACGTTCAGTTCTCCCTCAATGACTTCTTTCACGTGCGTTTTGGGAAGTAAGTTTCCAGGATTTTCAGGGGCTGGAGGGAAAACCAGTCCAGCGCTGCCTGAGCGCAGTGGCCGCTTCAGTGTCAAGAGTAAAGGGGTCAGGGGTCTGCTGCTCCTGTCACTTGCCGCCGCCGCGTGTTGGGCGGTCGTCCTGCCTCCTCCCCTGGGGGTGGGGGCCGGCCCCGGGGGTGTGGGTGTTAGGGCTGGGGCGCCCCCGGCCCCTCTGTCCCGGGCCGCTGGGTGGGTGGGCTGGGTGGGGCTCCCCGGGTCCTCGGAGCCCGGCCGGCGGCAGGCGCCGGGTGACCCCCGCGTCCCGCCCGCAGGCAGCCGCGAGACGGCCTTCACGTACGCGGTGAGCGCCGCGGGGGTGGTGAACGCCATGAGCCGCGCGTGCCGCGAGGGCGAGCTGTCCACCTGCGGCTGCAGCCGCGCCGCGCGCCCCAAGGACCTGCCGCGGGACTGGCTGTGGGGCGGCTGCGGGGACAACATCGACTACGGCTACCGCTTCGCCAAGGAGTTCGTGGACGCGCGCGAGCGGGAGCGCATCCACGCCAAGGGCTCGTACGAGAGCGCGCGCATCCTCATGAACTTGCACAACAACGAGGCCGGCCGCAGGGTGAGTCCCCTCCCGCCCCCAGCCCTCCGCCCGCCCCGCCCCTCTTCCCCTCCGCCCCCCAGCCGCCCGCTCCCGTCCCGCTGGGGTCCCCAGGCTCGGCCGCAGGCCCTCCGGCCCTCGGGCCCTCGGTGCCGCCCTGCACCGCCCTCCAGGTTTACCTGCCCCTCGGCCGCTCTCCCGGCATCCGGCCCCTTCTTTCCCTTTCTGACTCTGCCCCTCGCTGCTCCCCTGTCCGCCTCCTTCCCTTCTTCCCTCCCCACCTACACCCAGGCCCCTCTGGAGAAGGGTGCACACCCCAGAAAGGCCTCCTGGAGGTGAATCATCCCGCCCTGGTCCGCTCCAGCAAAGGTGCTTCTGCAGTCGCAGTCGCCGGAGGAAAAAAAGAGCTTTCTCTGCCTTTTTAATTAGTCCCCAGTGCCATTGGCCAGCCCAGCTCAGAAATAAAAATGTGAATAAAGCTCTCCCTCCTCCTTGGAACATGTTTGTGGTTGGGCTTAAATTTGGGAGAGGGAGTTCTTTATCCCGGGAGGTGCCCAGTGGAGAAAGCCCTCAGCTCAGCTTCCAGGACTTGGCTTTTCCCTAACTTGCTTTCTCCTTGCCTCTCCTCATGGCATTAGATAGCAGGCCTGACGGATTGAGGGTTTTATTTTGTTTTGTTCTGTTTAAAGGGTTTTTCTAGGAAAACGACGGCATTTTTAGGATTGTGGACTTTTATAGGTCTGCCCATCAGGCCACTCGAGGGTGGTTCTGGATAGAAGAGAGAGCCACTCAGAAGGGCCGAGAGACCAGCTTTGCAAGCCCTCACCAGCCTTCTGGGTCCACTCTTTCCTTCCCCTGGTGGGACGCTTCTCCACAACAGTTAAAAAGACCCTTTTCTTCCTGCGGTTAAACACATGGCACTTTATGGCTGCTTTAAAATGAAGGGGTGAAACTTTCCTTAACTTTGGCGGCATTGAAAACCAGGGTCATTATTTTTTCACAGAACCCAAGGTAGGTGCCAGGAACTTTCTGGTCAGAGATTTCACTCTTCTGTATTTTGGGGTGAGGAAAAGGGAAGATAATCACAGACTAAAATATAGAGGACTGGGAGGAGTCTTAGAACCCTCTAACCACACACCCTCATTTTTAAAGCTTGGGAAACTGAGGCCCTAGAGAACCACTTCATGGCCATGGGGGAAAAATTGATGGATTGAGATACAAGCCCAGGCACGTTTTTATTAAACTCATGCGTCACAGCTCAGGGGGTAAAGGGCTATCGATTGCAGAATTAAAGAAATCTAGGTTAAGATCCAGTTCTGTTCCTTTCCATGTATGAGTCTCAGTTTCCTCATTTGCACATCTTTTGGAACGTCACGGCATGAACTATCACGTGGGATTATGTGAGGACTAAGTGGGATCATACAGGGGTGGGTTCATACGAAGTTACCAGTGCTTCACTCTCTCTGACTCGTAAAACAATAGCTTCACAGGGTTCAGTCCAAGGGCTGAGTTTAGCATTCGCCTTTAGTGAGTGCTTGATAAATCATAACTTAATTGTTAGATGTTACGAAATGGGGAACAGAGAAGTCAAAGATTATCTAGATAATTCCAGCTAACCTAGCTTCTCACATTGATGTTAAAAACATGGAGGTGCTCGGAAAGGACTAAACTCCGTAGATTTTTGCCTGTGGTGCTGTGAGGGGTCACTTTACGCTTTTAGAGCTTCTTTCTCAAGCCTCCCATTGCTGTCTCTCCCCTCTGGAGCTGACCAAGGCCACATCATGGGCATGTCAGCCCCACTCCCTGTGGGAGCCCATAAAGCTTGCCCCTGTCCTCACAGGGGGCACATCCCTGTACTCTGAGCAAACAGCAGTGCCCAGGGCCTCAGACCAGACACACCTCCGAGAGATGTGGTTGACTCTTCTGGGCCTATCGTGCCCATATTGGGTACTTTCATCCATGGAGGGGATTTCTTTGACTTCTCGCATGAAGAGAAACGATCAGAGGCTTAGCAACCAAAATGAGAAGGTCAAGGGATTTCCAAGGGGAAAGAGGGGGTTTTGGGGAGTTGGAAAAGCACCTTTAATATTAGAATGTCATTTACCATCTACATTTTTAAATAGAGAGTGAGTTCTTTTGGTAGGTTTTATAAGTGGAGCAGTGAGCTGAGCTTGGATCCTGGCAGATGAGGTTGCAGAGAAGACAGTTTTTCTCCAGGACAGTGGGGTAAGGGAGGAAGAGATTTGGACCCTGTGCCAGGAAATCATATTAGAATCACCTGGGGACATTAGCTTTTTATTTTCCTCAAAGGGGAGCAAAGGTTAAATACATTTGCAAAACTTTTCCACACCTTAGCTGAGTGCCTGGATCTCTTTTGCCAAGGGAGTACATTTTGCCCTCCGCCCCCCCCCTTTTAAAAAAAGCCCTTTATGAATCCTTAGAGGACGAAGGGATCTGTTCTGGGTGTAAGGCGCCTTCTAGCTCCCTCCAGCCTCCAGGTTCTTGACAGGCTTCCTGTAGCTTGCCAGCACCACTCCAACTGTGAAGGGTGACTGGCACAGGAGCTGTGAGCAGTGGGGACTATAAATAGGCAGCCACCGCCTCCCAGACTGCTGGGCACGGTGCTGTGAGGCCAGGACAGTGGACGCTGCTACTGGGAGGCCAAGGTGACCCAGTGAGAGCCCAGGACCAGCACCCAGATGCCTTGGGTTCATCACCCGGGAGAAAGAGCAGATTCACTGATTGCATCCCATATGCCATGTAACACTTTCCTTGCATCCCCTCATTTTATCCTTACAACAATATTGCGAGGTTTGTACCATTACAGTTCCCCTTCCCAGAGAGAAAGGAGGCTCTGAGAGGTAAAGCCAGTTACCTCAATGCCAGAGCACAGTTAGGACAAAGCTCACATCTGCCTAGGTCCGGTGTGGGTGCTCTTTCTTAGTGTGGGGAAGGGTTAGGAACTGTGCAGGACACAGGAGTGAGAATGCCTGAGATCCAGACCTGGTTTCCCCACATTCCAGCTGTGTGGCCTGTGCGGGACACTTACCCTCTCTGTGCCATGTACCATCATCTAACCATTATAATGTTATTTGGGAGGCTTTAATGAGATAAATAGTATAAAGTCTCTGATGACAGTGCCTGGGACACTAATAATAATAGTGACTAAGATTTGAACGCTGATCACACTGGGGCTGCCCCTGCACCCCGCCCTCCTACTTAGCAGCTGGGTGCCCATGGGCAAGTCACTGAGCATGAGCTTGGAGCCCAACCACCTGGGTTCAAATCCTGGCAGCCCTCTCTTCCTGGGTAACTCTATGGACCTCACTTTTCCTCTCTGTGAGATGGGTCAGATACTAGCCTTGCCCTCATAGGCTGGCAGAGGGGATTCACCCAGGTGAGGAAGGCAGGAATTGTGGATAGTCTCTGGGATCAGTGTTCAAGACATTTTCCTGGGGAAAAAAGAAGCAACTGGAGTGTTTTCCTGTTACCATTTAAAAGCTGGTTGTTACTTCCGGTGAGGTATACTAATGAGAGGCTAAGAGCCCATTTATTTTGTAGATTTTTTTAAAGAAGGCAACACCTGGGTGCCAGGGTGGCTCAGTGGGTTAATCCTCTGCCTTCGGCTCGGGTCATGGGCTCAGGGTCCTGGGATGGAGCCCCACATCGGGCTCTCTGCACAGTGGGG